TAGTGGATACTCCAAAACCCGACAATCAATTATTTGTTGTTATGTTTGCGTTCCTGTGTCTATTCTTACAGAAACCGCTACATGACGTAATTCTTGTCTGTGAATTCGCTGAGTTGTACATATAAGAGAGTGTGGGAATATCTATCACGTTTCAATTTAGGCCATTAGCGTCATGATCATTGTTTAGATCGCGTGCTTACAAGCACCGTGCATTGTCATCAACGTGCCAGCGACTTTGAAGGTGCGACAGTTAGGTGTGGTAGGCACCTGAAATGCTCTTCATCGGCTTTTGCATTTCATCGATGAATCGGAAATGTGTACCTAACACACAGAAGACTGTAGAACAATAAATGCTGTTTATGATGTTCTTGAGAGTTCTCTATGCGGATACTGAGCACCACCACTACCTATGCTTCTCGCATCTGTGACTTGAAGAGATCAAATGAGATCGCTATTCCGCATACTGTCAGTTTTACCTCGTAGGCGCACCAGTTAAAGAATTTCCCTTCGCAGTGCTGCTGTCGTATCCCAAAGTAATCGTTGATGCAACAGTTTCTTCACACTCTGCTGTCAGCCTATCTGTGATTGTAAGACGAGCACGCACAAATTCAATGTGTTGTGACCTGCGTAGAATGGCTGCATGTCGAATTAACCTAGCCGCGCCCGCACACACTGTTGTCCCGACGGTCAGTGCTTCCTCGATCAACCCAAACAGCAGCCGCAGACACACTTGGTGCATTACTCCACTCCGAAGATATCGCACCTGATGGAGTTAAGTGTCTATAGGTCTTGACAAGTTTCGTACCTCTTCGAGATTAAACCGGTCCAGGTTCTACAAATTTCCTAAAGAACAAAACGTAACTACCCCCTCCCAATTGAAAACATATTAACTTTTACAGATCGGTGGAGCTGACCTCGCCATCTTATTGGATTGTGAAGAAAACACACTACAGAAGCGTCTTCTAAAGAGGTACACTCGACTCTCACGGTTGGAGGACGAAGAAATTGTTTCTTTGCACCGGATTCTCTTTTTCAAACACTGCACCGCTACCTGTTATCAGGCACTACGACGAACTTAGCGTCTTAGTTACTGTGAGTTTATTTACTTTATAAACAGACTGATCTTTTGCAGATCCCCGGTGATCGCGACCAACCACATGTGCTTAACGATCTCGTTACGGTTGTGGAGTATTTTCTTGGAAAAGTGAGATTCTCTGAGGCTTTGTAATGATACTACCATTTTCACATCTATAGCAGGATTCCCAAGGGGGCAACAATAATGCATGTGCTACAGTCGTTCAGTCCAATCTAACCGGACATTATGAGGAAAACGATAAGCCAGTGAGTTCGTTCAATCGGAGACTCTTTTCCAACTGTATATTCATTACGCTCATTTACGTAAATAATATGTGTTTGATATCGTGCAGATTCAAATTGCGACATTACGAATATCCCGACATAACTGCGCAAGCGTAATTGAGTTCTCTGCGTATAGTGAACATACTTCAAAGACAGGTCAATTGTGCACACACAGAGGAGCTATATCATCTATCTCAGGTACTCTACTTTTTATTACTTGTCCAACTCATTGTTGCTGATATGCTGTGATGTTGGGAGAACTTTAGATCTTCTGATGGCACCTGTAGGCGATCAGAGGCATCTACCGTTAGGCCAATCCTGAGATGTTTCTTCTTCTCTTCGGCCTGGGAATAATATAATAATAATAATGGCAACAATAATAATAGTAATAATAATAAATCGTGTTCGCTGTGCGCCGTAACGGTGCTTCGCTGCCGTGCGACCACCACTAGTCGCGCGTGGGCTGAGTGTACCGCAAGGATGCCCGCCCCTACGCGGATTTGAAACGGTGGCCTTATAATTGCAAGCCATACCTGCAGACCACTTTGCCACCGGCCGACTGAAAACAGTAGCAGATGGACAAGTTGCAGAATTCTCACCTTTGTGCGTAAGTACTTCAACTTGTTACCTACTGGCCAGGTGACTCTACTCTACTGTTATACATGAGTGGACTTTGTGGAGAAGTATCCTGATTTCTAAACGAAAGAGCACATTCCTAGTCACTAGTTTCCGTTGTTCATCCCTTGCAACCAAGCACCGCTCGCTCTGAAGCTGAAGTACATAACCCAGAATAGAGACACTGCCCGATAACACGAGTTCGTTTATTGACTTAGCTAAAGGTAAAGCATTCCTTCTACCCTTTCGTATTTATAACTCAATGGTGTGGCAGGGTAGTGCATTAACGTTGAAAGAAGTCGCATGCTGACAAGACATGAATTGTTAGTGAACTGAGGAAAACTCCTTTGAGGCAGCTACGGTAATGTCCTGAGCAGAGCTCAGTTTGGTTGATGCAGCTTGCGACGTTAGATACAACAGCGTTACTGGGGGGATTTTAGGTGAAATCATTCAGTTGACCTTGACGTATAACAACAGTTTTAGTAAGGAGAGTTTATCTGGGGCCTGCGCACTTTGAGTCGTCACGTGGTGACAGTATTGGCAAAGAGAGCTCGGGTGAAGTTTGTACAGTTTTCGTGGAGATATGCGAGCTCCGCAACACAGTTCACCGCCTTTTACTGCTTAAGGTGTTATTTTTCTCGCCTGGTGCAAGTACATTTGTAGGTTTCAGTTAGGGAAGCTACATAGATCCCCATGTTCTCAATCAACCTTTCAGCGAACAGGAAGGAAGTTCACTGGCTAAGCGGCATGTGTTAATAATTGTCGGCGCAGTTGCCAAGTTGGAGCACTCTGCAGTACATCCTCAGTTTGGCTCGTACTTTGTCTAAAGTAAACCACTTGCTTAGACTGAATAGCTGCCATACCCCTACTTCTGATCCCGTATTGAGGATTCCTTGTCTAAGCCTCGCCGCATACGGCAGAGTCTCAGCCTGAATAAAAGTCGAGCCACAATCCATTCACACAACCATACTACTACGTGTGAAAAAAACTCTTTATCGTAGCCACACGCATTTCCCAGATGGCCAAGTCGACCACGTGACTGTCAGACTACAGGTTCGAATCTCAGCGCAAATGTGCGATCCGATCGTTTTCTCTCGGTTACTCAGTTGTGGTCCAAGCACTAGAATGCGGTGAACCCACTCACTCTCGGTGGAGTCGTTAGGATAGAATTGATACGTAGAGAATGAAAGCATCCGCACACACAAACACACACACAGGTGACGTGCGTGCTTCTGGGGTATTTGGATTATTCCTCTCTATCCTCTCCATCTCGTAGCGTTGTCACTGTACGCTCATTTGAACCAGATTTACCAGCTCTACACAATGGAATTATCTTCTACGATTAAGGTCCGTGCCATCACTAACCGTTTACACGGTCATCCGTGATTAAACGTAAGCGGATAACTCAATCACATTGAGCCGATTGCCTTTCTGTTTGATAACATTCGATAACAAATTCTCGAAGCAGTCCGAAAAGCCCAAACTTATTCCAACCCGGCGTTTCTCAACGCATCTGTGAAAGGATTTGTAATCTCTCAATCTGTGTTCAGCGTTGTGTTCAGATTCAGTTAGCAGGTTCCAGTCACTTACCATTACTTGTGAAGCGGTCAGCCAGTGCGCCTGCATAACCCATCACATAGACCGCGCGACCACGCCGACCACTCATTTGACCTAGCAACCACAACGCTCGACTGACCGAAGTACAGAACGCCTACCAACTTACTGGGTCAGGTAACGATACCACATTGAATGGCAGAAATGCAAATCCGAAAACGCTCCAAGCAAAAGGCATTTGTGCGTTAGGAGGATGTCATCGATTAGTTAAAATATGTTTGGTTCGCTCGCACTGTTTGGGATGGTATCATCCGAAATGTGCAGACGTGTCCCAACAACAGGTACGAGAGCGAAATAGCCCACAAGATGCGATTTGGTTCTGTACTGAGTGCTTGACCATCCCACTCGTTAAGTACTTGCTTATCCTAATCCATAAGTGCGACCGGTTAACCGCAGAAGCCGAGCATATGATGAACAATAAGAGTACTTCAATGTGAGCGAGTATGCACCAGGGAAACGTAGCGGCTTCTAAGCAACGGAATGCTGCACAATCTGCCTCCGCTGAACCGCAATCAGCCACGTCCCCATCTCCGTTGTCTTCTTCAAGTTTGATAGAACACCAAGCAAAAACTGACCGTAGGTACAAAAGTCAAACAGTATCCATGACAACGAAATCAGGCAACACTCGAAACGCCTGGTTAAGCAAATTGCAACAGAACTGACATCTAGCATTAACAAGGATGAAGCAGCCGAGCACCAACCCTCGGTACGTGTAGCTTAAGTAGTACTTGTCGAGAAAAGCCTCATGAACCTCAGTTACACGCGCAGTGATTGCTGCATAGGTAAGCCATAAGTTCACCGTTGCGGCCTCTTCTGTTGGAAACACCGTTAACTCGAATAGAGGAACAAACAGTTAACAATCAACACTTGTCAGCAGGTCAAGACATACGAGTACCATACCTTGTAGACCATTGAAAAAGGGATCCAACCGTAGCGCCGGACTGTCGTATGCTCAAATGTCCCCGAATTTACCGCCATCACATTGCGAGGTAAGTTATCAGACGACCAAGGCCAACTGAACTCACTGCGCGTGCTGATGAGTGTCAAAGCCAAACCCATAAATCTATTACGAATTACACTTCATCCGAACTCGCTACACTATGACGAACCCAGACTTATCCGGGTAACACTTGAATCCCACACCGACTTAGAAAACGTTTTGCTCTCCGCAAGCGCGCTAAGGCACGGATCCGATGGGATACACATCTCTCCTGATATCCCTTGGAGCGCGCGACAATCAGAAAGAAACACCGAAGGGGGACACAGCAAGAAAGACCGACTAAACATAATCTTCATACATGGCGTGCCAGAACATTCTTCTAATGACGTTCAAGAAGCCGGAAAGCACGATTTAGAACAGTGGCGGTTCATTCATGAAACACTTTCTTTGGATGATATTGTGGCGCTATTGCTCACCAGGATACTTCTTTCGCCAAAGTTTGGAGATGCGGCCCTAGAATCCTAAAACTTTTAGTTCAGTCAGGGATAAACAACAGATGTTTTGGATCGATGGCGGAGAAACCGGAAGCCTTCATTCTGAACTTCGGTGAAAGGTAGCAGAAGCATTGCAAAATTCAAATATCAGTGCACCTGAAGCAACAGAAGTACCGACGATGATACAGCAGCTTAACTTGACTGCTACTTTGATTGGCTCTGACGTAGATCTAAATGATTAGGACGCACCTTGTCTGAATCAAGATTCAGATGAGGTATCATTATCCCATCAAGTAAACAACTAACTGCCGACTTCCCATCGGTCGGCATTCTCCCACACTTGACCCCTTTAGCTCTCTGTGGGCTCCTAAAGACCGAGAAACTGTTATAACGCTGTACCCGCAATCGACCGGTTGATTCACTCTTACTGGTAAACCTGCTCCCTTACGGGCTGCTCTGTTTGACTCCTTGACAAACTCGACAGGAAGGAAGACAGAGAAAGCTCATCAGACCAGACTTGTATTAGGACCGAGAACGCTGACATTTATATGTCTGTCTCACCAATCCTCTAAACATCGCCTGGCGGATTTGGCTGTAAGCCCACGCTCCACACTTGCTTGTCCGCTCCGTCTGGCCAGTTCACCGTCTTGCTCGGGCACTCCAGTCTTCGTCCACCTAACCGGGGCATGGCAGCGCACGTGATGTCTGCCGTGCGATTTCATCAGCTTCCGGTCAGGCCTTGGCAACACACTCGCAGGGTCTTTCCCAAGCACGATTTGTGGCAAACACGCACGCGTTGGCAATCAGCTTTCTCGCCCAGTTGTCACGTCCCTTTCTGAATTGCGTCAGTTTGCAAACCGTTCGCAGTTGACTGTGTTCTTAGTCTTTTGCCCAGGGATCGATTTGCAGCCGTTGTGGTCTTCTCCGCTTCTGAGCCGGCCTTGTGCATCTGAATTCTGCAGCATTGTTTTGTCTCACGGGATTGCTGACCTCAACTTCCAGCCCGAACGTGGCTAGTAGAATGTCCTAATGCAAAGCTGGTGGTTAGTGGGGTCCTTAGGTTTTGCCATGGTTCGGTCTCAACTGATTGATGTGCCTAATCCACCTCTCACGTCCAACCATCACCTCGTAGATAACTCTGACTTTCCTGCCGATAACAGTTCCGCTCGACCACCCCTTCGGCCTTCGAAAATCTCGGGCGTAAACCATGTCACCAACATTGAAGTTACGGAGCCTGACTTTGCGATCTTCCTCCAAGTGACTACTGCCGTGTTTTTCTATTCTCCTTGGTAAAAGATTATCGAACAACGTCCGGATCT